TTCAGGCCTTTTTTCTAGTTGGAAACAGTTCAGGGCTGGCTGTGGCCATCTGGTTTTAATTGAAAACTGTCTCTTTAAATTTCAAGGAGATCTGTGTGCATGCATAGTAGAACCCTCCGAGGGTGGAGCTAGGGTGCCCACTAGCTCAGGCACCCCTATAGTCACCAGAATGGAGTTGCTCAGACAGCAAGGGACCAATGAACAGCTACCAAAAGAAAATAATGTCCACACCTTTATCTCATTAGTTCTGCCAGACATCTGTGGCCGCTCCGATCCTTCCCCCACGTGGTCTCACCCAAGATGGTGGCTCCTTGAGCAGCTAAACTTCCCGAACTAGAAAGCAATGGGTTTTTTGCATCTGTCACAAATTCCCCCAGCTGTAAGCCTTCCAACCTTCTAAATATTCCTTTATATGTGGTTCAGAGTTCTGGGACTATCCCCTGAGCCTGCTTGGTCAGGTATTCTGTGTCGTTTTTGGCGGAGCTCTTTGCTACACGTCCACCCAATCCACCATCTTGTTTGTTCTCTCTCAATTGTAAAACTTTTGACAAAATGTATTCTCCCATGAAAAGTGTCAGTCCCCACTAAGTCCCCTCTCCAGGCAGCCACAGATGCTTTCTATGATTGTTGAGTGCTGATTCCATTCCATAGTCTAAAATCAAACCAAGTCCATGGCCATTTCGACTCAGCGACCCTGTAGAACAAATTAGAACTGCTTCTTAGAGTTTCTAAGACTGTAAATCTTTGCGGAAGCAAACAACCTTATCTTGTGGTTTGCAGCCTAATGCTTAACCCACAGCATCAACAGGGCTCCTGGCAATCACTGGGTTGTGGTGGTTTTTGCATGTGACTCTTAGCAACTCTGTATAGGGTTTCTGAGGTTGTAAGTCTTTATGGGTGCAGAAAGTCTCATCTTTCTCCCACAGAGAGGCTGTGCATACAAGCTCAACAGTATTCTCTGAGGTGTGACTTCCTTCCTTCTTGTCTGAGTCTATGTTGTTTGAACTGCCCGGTCACTTCTTAACGAGTTTCTTGGTAGTGAGAGTGGTTAGTGTGCTCAGTTGCAAATTGGAAGCATGGAGGCTCAAATCTACTCTAAGAAAGTCCTCATGACCTACTTCCAAAAATCAGTCATTGAAAACCCAATGGAGCACAGTTCTCCTCTGACACAAAAGAAGTCTCCCTGAGTCGGAGTCCACTGAACTACAACTGGGTATGAGGCTGAGTCTGTGTTCTGAGGTCTGAGGGTGGAGACTCCATGCTTCTGTGACCCAAAGGGTTTAGTCGCTGCTGGTGGAGTCAGAACTACTGGACAGGTAGGAGCAGGGCCCCAGCCTCCCACTCACTGACGCTCCTCCTGCACCAGGTAACCTACCCACCTGTGACATGCCTTCCTTTTACAGGGTGGTTCGTTTTCCAGTTTCACCGCATGCTGCAGTATGCGCGGCCAAGGCCAGGCAGCACTCAGCCCTTCTTCTGGATGTTTGTGGACAACCTGGTGCTGACCTCAGATGACCGGGCTGTGGCAACCCGCTTCCTGGAGGTGCGTGCAGGGGAGTCTTTGGGGAGACACAGTTGGGTAGGGACCCCTCTAATCTCACCCCCATGTATACTGGGCACAGGCCACCCAGCCCTCTCGGGACACAGAAGTCACATATCACAACATAATCTTCAAATAATGGTCACCTCAGAGCTCATCTCCTTCTCCTCTGAGCCCTGCCCTCCCTGCCTTCACTTGTGCACATACAAATGCACAGACATACATACTCCTACACACATATCACACATTTGTACACACCACACACAATACACATTCACACTCACACACTCATATGGACGCACATATACTCATGCACAGGTATGTAATATATTAGGGCACTACAGCCTGGTTTTCTCTCTCCTCATATCTGAATCTTGGCGATCAGAACAGCCACTTGGGGATTCAGTGAACAATCCCATCCAGGGCTCACTTGGGCAATGAGTCCCTCCCTGGCCCCCACCCCCTCTGCATGGGACAGCACTGTCTCAGATCTATGTTCCTGCCTTTCAGGGTGTTCCCACCACATTCACATGGTTCAAACTTTTAACAGTGTTTATTTCCCATGGATGATGGTCCTTAATGTTTAGTTGCTTTGTTGCCTTCCAAAGTTATTTTTTTAATGCAGAAACAAGTAAATCTGAGTATATACATCATTCAGGACCTTGCTTTTTTTTTTTTTTTTTTTTAACAATTACTTTGAAAATTTTTCCATTGCAAAAAGTACCTTTCTCATTTTTTGTTTTAATTGTGTGTGTTACATTTTACTTTATGCAGTTTGCCTGTGTATGGACATTAAAATATTTTTAAACTGTTCTCTGTTGATGGACAATTAGCTATTTCTAACCTTTTGTTCTTACAGACAAACCTACAGTGAATGAGATTGCTGGGTTGAGGGATAATTGTGTTTGCCATTGCCAAGAATATTGCCAAACTGCCACCATATGGGGTTTTCCGGACTCACAGCTCACTCATGGGATGTGTCATAAATTCTCTTATCTTGTTATGTTTATTCCCAAATAGTTTACCTTTCCATTTTATCTCCTATGGCAAGTGGAAGTTTCTGTTTTATCACATATAACTAGTGATTCTATGCATGAAACTATTGATTTCTGTACATTAATTTTGTTTCTACTTCCTTATTAGATTTCCTAGAAGACTGTAGTAGTTTTCAGTCAATTAGGACTTTTTATGTATTTGTTCATATCATCTATAAATAGTGATAGTTGTTTTTTTTTTTCCTAATTGTATAATTCTAATACCTTTACTTTGGTCTGATGGTTTTGGTTAGTTCTTCTGCATCAATGTCCAATCACAGTAATGGCAGGAGATGTTCTAGGAATGTTTCTAGTGCTTCCACACTAAACTGATGCTGAGCTGTAAGCTGAGGGAAACCTATTTTAGGAGCCCTTGGGTGGTGTAAATGGTTATAAACACTCAGCTGCTAAACAAAAGGTGAAGGTTCAAGTCCACCCACAGTTGTCTCCAAAACAATCAGTTAGTGAAAACATTGTGGAGCACAGTTCTACTCTAGCACTCACAGGGTCACCATTAGTTAAGAGTCAATGCCATAGCAGCTGATTTGTGGAGTTAGATATATTCTATTGTGTTAAGGATGTTTTCGCTGATTCTGATTTCCTTAGCACTGCTATCAATAATTACGGTCGTATTCTGCCAACCACTAGGCTACCAGAGCTCTGGTAGCATAATGGTTACAAATCGGTCTGCTAACCTCAAGGTCAGCAGTTCGAAACTATCAGCAGTTCGAAACTATCAGCTGTTCTGTGGGAGAAAGATGAGGCTTTCTGTTCCCGTAAAGATTTACAGCCTCGGAA